CCAAAACACCTTATAAACAGGAAGGGGCTCTCCATAGTGAAAGTATAAGAAGACCCACCTCTTTTTCTTCTCTGAAAAGAGGTACAAAAACTATCTTGACAATTCAAATAGGCCCAAAGTGGTGGCAATCTGTCCATCCTCCTCTATGGAATTTGTCAAGCCCCAATCTAGTAAATAGGTAGCTGGGAACTGACAGGCTGAAAGAAGGGCCTGGGAATGCCCCCTACCGACAGTCCTGACATCTCTAGGTTTCCACTTATCACTGATTACTATTGATGAGGACAATAACAATAAGGACAAGAATAAGAAGGGCTAACGGTTACTGGGCACTTCCTACATGCCAGGTCCAGGGCTAAGGACTTTATAAGCATTATCTCAAGGACTCTTCATATAACCCTATAAGATGGACACTGTCATTATCTTCATTTGATGGATGAGTATATAGGTTCACAGAAGTTCACACAGCTAGTAAGTGACAGAACTGCAAGCCCAGGCAACATCTTTGTTTATCTTTGAGAATTTTCTTTGTTGTGTCTTTACTGAGTTTTCCCCTTGGCCAAAGGCATCCTGTCAGACTCAGCGATGTGAACCTTTAATTCCAAACATCAGTGGAAATAATTTTAATAAATTTAATTTCATTTTAAGTAAACCATGTTCTGAAACTTGAAACTATTTTTAAATCTAGGTGTGTATTAGCTTCTCATTGCTGCTATAACAAATTGCCATAAACTTAGTGGCTTAAAACAACCCAAATTTATTCTCTTCTATAGGTCAGAAGTCCAACATGGGTCTTACCAGGCTAATATCGAGGTGTTGGCAGAGTTATGTTCCTTCTAGAGGCTCTAGGGAACAACCTATTTCCTTACTGTTTCCAGCTTCTAGAAGCTTCCCAAATGCCTTAGCTCATGGTCATTTTCAAAGCACATCATTTTCAAAGCACTCTGCTTCATTTGTCACATCTCCTTTCTCTCACACTGACCCTCTTTCCTCCCTCTTAAAAGTACCCTGGGATTACACTAGGCCCACCTGGATAATCCAAGATAATTTCCCCATCTCAAAATCCTTAACCTAATCACATCTGCAAAGTCTTTTTTGCTGTGTAAGGTAACCTATTCATGGGTTCTGGGGATTTGGACATGGCCATCTTTGAGGGGAGAGGCATTACTCTGTTTCCTATAGTGTGCATCAGGGCAATAGTGAGTAATGAAAATAAGACAAATGATAAAATTACCATCCCAATATTAAATTCCAAAATCACCATGGAATGAATGGGAGCACTACTCAGCAGAAGATCCTACAGAGGTGGTTCCCAGGCCAGGGTCTGGCAGTGAAAGGGTTGATCTACAAAGAACTACAGAGGAAGATCAGGCAGCAGATGTTTTTAGGACCACTCAGGTCTGTCCAGGCTGGAGGTATTCAGATGACCTGATGGGCACATCTGGTTTTGTTCACTATCAAAACCTGAGACCGGGGATCCTGGGAGGCTCAGTCGTTAAGCATCTGCTTTCGGCTCAGGTCATGGTCCCAGGGTCCTGGGGATCGAGCCCCACATTGGGCTCCCTGCTCAGCGGGAAGCCTGCTTCTCCTTCTCCCACTCCCCCTGCTTGTGTTCCCTCTCTCGCTGTATCTCTCTCTGTCAAATAAATAAAATCTTTAAAAAAAAAGATTAAAACCTGAGACCATTATGCAATCCCACCTCACCAAGCACCTTCACATTATGACTCAATTTCTCTGAGTTTTCCTACAGGAAGAGAATATGCCCATCATGCCAATATTTAACACTCATATTTTTCTTTGTAAATTGATGTCATTAGTCTTTTGGGACTTAGTTGCGGTGACTCAGCATCACCAGGATTGGTAAGCTCAGAGGCATTGACAAGGTTGGATTTCTGGCCCAAGGAAATGCCATCAAGGTAGTACTGCCCTAGGGAGGGTTCTTGAGGCCCCCCAGCTGGCCCAGTCCTCATAATGCCAGACACTGCTTTTCAGATGTAGGTACTCAATTCCTGGTTCCTGAAAGCAGTAGCAGTAAAGATTACTTCCAACTTTTCTAAACATGAGATTCAGACAAAGATTCACCATGTTTATTATGATTTTCACCCCAAATTAAATAGCCATGTTTAACAAGCAAATTATGTAAAATAAAGCTTGTTAGAAAAAAAAATCACAAGAAGAAATAAAATATATAAGAGGCAGGGTGCTGTGATAGAGGGCTGATAACAGGATCTGAATTCTAGCTCTGCCTCTAAGTCTTTGTGTGATCTGGGACAAGACTCTTCTCATCTCTGAGCCTCAATTTTCTCATTTGTAAAATAAGGAACATGATCAAAATCAAGTGATTCTCATCCTACTGCATATTGGAACCACCCAATGAACTTTTGGAGACTGTCAGTGCCTATCCCTCACTGGAGTCGAGAACCATTGTGTCTGAATGGTGGCCAAGGTCCTTTACACATCTGTTCTATCATTCCATGAAATGTCTGGGATTTGTCAATGAAAATCTGGACTTGGATTTGTTGGAGGCACCCATCCTTCTTATTGAATAGCAAATTCAACTGAACAAGGAAATGCAAATTGAGTGTCAATTCAATGAAAATTGAAAATTGAGCATTAAACTCGATCCCTTAGGGATTCCTACACTCAAAGACCTAACTGTGTGTCAGCTAGGTGAACAAATAATTATAAGTCAGAAGGTATGTACATTGTTCCTTTCAAAATTTATCATACCTGTGTATTAAATGGATAATTTCTTTAACTTGTATTAGGCTTCTTTTTCCAGAAATTCAGAGCCTTTGTTATGCATCCTTTCCTGTATTTCTCAGTGAGAGGGGAAGAGGTGGATCCTCTGATGCACAGAGATCTAGCAGCCAAAGCAAGCTCCCTGGCTCCCCACCTGGTGGGCTTTATCTAAACCCACCTGCCCACTTTGTGCTGCCATTTGGAAGTGGGACAGCATCACATTTCACTTTTAATATTCGTTGAGTGCTTACTGTGTACCAGGCACTATTCCAAGAGTTTTATGGATGTTAACTCATTTAATCTGCAAAGGATCCTATGAGATAAATACTATTACTTTCCCATATCACAGATGAAGACAATGAGACAGAGAACTAATGTCACTTGTCTAACATCATACAGCTGGTAAGCTTGTAAATGGGGAGCTGAGATTCAAACCACAGACTGGTTCTAGCACTCATGCTCTTGGCCACTTATAAATGGGTTCAGTGGCTTCCACGAAATGTTCTATGGCTACCAAAAATAATGCTTACAAAGAATGAATGGCAACAGAGGAAATGTTTATGTTTAAATCTTAAGTGAAAAGTTAGTAAGATAAACTCTTACAGACAATACTATGATAAAGACTGTGTAAAGTCAAAACAAAACAAAATCACTAAAAAGTTATATTCAGTAAAAAAAAAAAAGACTGGAAAAAAGTAAAATGGAGGATGTAAGGAAAATAGCAAAATATTAAGAATGCTCAGAAGGTGCGATTGTAAATGAATTTTAAATTCTTCCTATCTGTATTTTTTTCATAATGATCAGGCTTTCTTATAATCTCATCCCCCAGTAGCAAGTAAGTACCATGAATTTTTTTTGTGTGTGTGTAAGAAAACACCAGGGCTCAGCTCTAATATTTTCTTAGGGATGACCGGAACTGATGCCTCACTTCTGGCAACTTCCATGAGTCCAGTTCCACTGCTCCACCTTCAGCATATGCCTGGTCCTTTCTGCCTCACCTTGGTCTGACTAAAGATGGCTTTTTTAGGACCATATGTGGAAAGAGAAGCCATTCCTAGAATTCTTCTGCCCTTTCAAGGGGATTGTTAGTGCTGAATCAGGGTTATTTGTGAGTTCTCTTGGTATGTCAAGTTCAGGTAAGGCAAGAAATCAAACCACCCACACCATCTGCATTAGATCTACTAAAATAACATCACTGAGATATCGAGCATTCTTAATCTGGGTTATGGCATCATCTAAGAATGAAAAAGTCACATTAGATCATAGGCTTAGGCCTGGCATTTTATTTTGGATCTCTAATCTCATTCTAAAAGGAGCCGTTTGATTTCCATCTTGGGAATTTTTCTTTCCATTTCCAAGCCAAAGAGAAGAGAGACTTCTCTTCATCCCTGAGGTCTAGAGCCCCACTGACCCAGCTCAGGAAACAGGGAGCATAGCAGAGCTGCCTGTGAGGCTGACAGGCAATGTGTGCAATCCACAAAGCACCATCACCATCCTTGTGGCCTGCAATTCTCGGGGGACCTTCCTGACAGCTAATACTTAACATGCTTATGGAGGGAGGAATTAGGTCCCTGGGATGTGAGGGAAGGGTAGTCACATGTGCCCTTTGTGAAAGATTCTGTTAGTATCTCTCACGTGGTCCACACCTCCTGATACCAGGTCAGAGCTGAACCTGTATAAAAGTTGGAAGCTTCTAACAGCACCTCAGTCTACCTGCATCCTGGGTGATCTGCTCCAGTGCCTGAACCAGGTAAAGTACATCTCGAGGACCAGGAGGGACTCTTGGTGTTGGTGTTTCAGGCAAGGAGTAGCCCTGGGGGTTGTTGAGAAGAAAAAAAATTTAAGAGAGAGAGGCAGGGAGGGGCAGAGGGAGAGGGAGAACCATAGGGAGAGAGAATCTTAAAAAAAACAAAACAAAACATTTTATTTATTTATGAGAGAGAGAGAGAGAAAGAGAGAAGAAGCAGGATCCCCAAGCTGGACCTGGGGCTCGATCCCAGGATCCTGGGATCATGACCTGAGCCAGAGGCTAGATGCTTAACTGACTGAGCCACCCAGGTGCCCTGGGAGAGAAAGAATCTGAAGCAGGCTCCACACCCAGTGCAGAGCCTAACGGGGGCTCGATCTCACAACCCAGAGATCATGACCTGAGCTGAAATCAACCATAAAGATGGAGTCTTGTGAATTCATAGCTCAGTTTTAAATGTAGGTAAGTTATCTTGGGCTGGTTGAACTTAGAATGCTGTTTTGTTTTTCAGCTTCATTCAGTTCCTGTTGAGATGTCCTGCCAGCAAAGCCAGCAGCAGTGCCAGCCCCCTCCCAAGTGCCCCCCCAAGGGTACTTCTAAGTGTCCTCCCAAGTGTCCCCCAAAATGCCCCCCTAAGTGCCCAGCCCCCTGCCCACCTCCAGTCTCTCCCTGCTGCAGCATCGGCTCTGGGGGCGGCGGCTGCTGCAGCTCTGGGGGCGGCGGCTGCTGCCTGAGCCACCACAGGCCCCGCCGATCTCTTCGATGCCGACACCAGAACTCTGACTGCTGTGGCAGTGGTGGTGGCCATTCTGGAGGCTCCAGCTGCTGCCACAGCTCTGGGAGCTCCGGCTGCTCTTCTGGGAGCTCTGGATGTTGCGGCAGCTCTGGGGGCTGCTGCTGATCTGGGCCGTGGGGAGCACTAAGGAGCAGCCCTGGAGGAGCCACTGGGCCGAGACTCCTCTTCTCCCATTTGGAAGAACAGAAGAGGACGGAAAGGCTTCTGAATGCTTTGAGTTTCCCTCTTCCTCCCACCCATGTCCATTCCACTGTGAGGTCTAGAGGGTTAGCCTGTGGCATTCACTAGTCTGATTCCCTCTCGCACACACATCTTTGGAGGACTTGGTGTTGGAGTTCAGTTATGAAGCTGCTTTCTCTGTAACAATAAAGTTTCTTATTCCTGATGTCACAGCCTCCTGATTATGTCTTGTTCACCTCGCCCACTCACCCCCTCCATCAAGCCCTCTCCCCTTCCATTCTTTTAAGTGCAAGTGATTATTTTACAATTCAGTTTGGGAAGATTTTGGTACTGAAGCTTAGACCTCTGGGAAACAATATTCCCTTTTATGCTCTGATTTTGGAAACTTTAGGCTTGAAGGAAAGATTCGTGTCTGAGACTATTACCCTGACACAAGCTTTGCGTGAGGGGAGTCAAGAATGGTTTTTCAGAGGGGAGGTTGGTGATACCCAGAAAGGTTACAGTGGTATGAGATACTCTGAAGTGAGGGTTTCCTTCAAGTATGGGTGACAGTTTAAAGAAGACTTTATCTCCTAGTTATGGGGATAAGGTCTCCTCAAGTGCTCATTCCGGGCTCCAATAAATAAACACCTCTTCCTTTTCTGATGATTATTATCCCAGGTGCTTCCATCTGTTACTAGAGAGGAGATATGGGGGGTGGGTTGGATTTGGGGGAGTGAGTTTAGGAGGCAGGTATGAAATGTCTGAGCCCACTTTCCCTGGATCCTGAAAGTCTGAGTATGGGTCCAAGTACAGAATCAAGAAGGGCATCCTCCTCTGCCAAAGAATGTCTCCATGTGGTCAGTATGTTGTGTGTGTGTGTGTGTGTTAAGGGGGAACAGGAGGGCTTTAGTCACTGTGGTGAGTTTTCCATTTTCTTTAGGAATAGGCTGATTCCTTCAGGAGATACTCAGAAAATTTATGATAAGAATGATAATTCCCAATCAGTCTTTTATAGACAAGAAGTATAATTAGATTTTCCTTTGATATGAGTTAACAGTGATAGGTGAAGTAAGTTAGTATATGAGACCATAGCAAGTCCACGTAGCATTCCTGCACTTGTCCATGTCATCTCCCAGAAGAGATCCCCTCTCCCAGAGGCCTTGTTACTTCATTACTTCGTTCTCTATTCTAATAAGACCTCACCTCTTGGAATGTCTCACCTGTACTCACCAACGAGTGCTCCCAGGTACATGCAACCTGTTAATCAGGCTCTAAAGGTACATTAAATGAAACTGGTATCTTTCATGATTGACCTTTCTTTGTCTGTTTCATCATACCATGCCCAGCTCACTTACCTCCAACCTATCTCTCACCATCAACTCTCGAATTCTTAGTCTTGGGTTTCTCTTTTATCTCATGGTTGTGGGTGCTTGCACTCAATAAGAAGTTCTGAAGCCATTTGACCTCCAAACTCTGTCCCAATTTTTAAAACTCAGTTATTCTAAAAGTACTATTTCTCATGGACACTTTGGACCTTGGGAAGCACCTGGCTTGACTTCTTTCCTTCCTTTTTTTTCCTCCCTTCCTTCCTTCTTTCCTTCCTTCCTTCCTCCCTCCCACTCTCCCTCCCTCCCTCCCTCTCTCCATTGGCCACTGGTTCCAAGGAGAACTTATCTTCAAAAGGATTTTGGTGGGGGTGGGGAGTAAGAAGCAGGGAGTCCCACAGGCCGGCTTAGCATTTTGCATTTGGGCCAGGCATCCTGCACATATTTTTCTCTTAAGCCTCCAGGGCTGTATGGAGATATGGCAACCTGACTACATTCACAGCTTTTCTAGTCTTAATGGTTCTATAACTTTGCCTGGGTTTTTCTTCCTGTTTCCAGTGACAAAGAGAAATCACCACGGGGATTCCCATAGGCATATCCCCACCGTCATCTTAACTCAGTGTTATCTGGAAGCTTCTAGATGAAGCCCAGCAGGCTTTTCACATAGCCTGTGGCCTGACTTGAAAAGCCAAGGACCAAGAGTCAGAGAGAAGCAAAGAAAGATAATAAAGTAAGTAAATTACCAATACCAAGTAAATGACTACACAAGGATGGATGTGAGAATGGGGTAACTGTGTGTGTGTGTGTGTGTGTGTGTGTTGTAGAAGAGGGCAAAGAGAACAGGTTCCAAAGAGAGGTCCCAGACCCCACATGAGCCCTCATAACTTTTCTTAGCACACACACAGCTCTCCCAGCTATGGGCAGTGTCTTATTTGGAAAGTAAACACGTCACAGCAATCCTGGCACCTCTGTGAAGTGACTTGAATACCCACGTGCACCACCTCCAGTGCTACCTGAGTGATGAATGTCTCTGGGATGTGAGCATCAGCTGACCATGTCTATTGGGAAATGGGCCTCTCCCAAGAGGCAGTGCCTTACTGCAATCTTATAAAAGGTTCTCTGGCTGGACACTGCTCAGTCCATTGCCTAGCAGGTGCCCCATTCCAGTTGTGAACTGATCAAGTCTTCCAGTGTAACCAGGGTCTGGTAAGTGTCCAAGCAGGACCTGGGGGGTAGTTCTAGACTTGAAGGCAAAGGGGAGGAGAAGGCAGAGCAGAGCCTTAGGCTTCAAGTGAGCCAATCTTTCATGGTACCAATGAGGACATGGAGGCTCGACTTGGAACCGTGACTTCTGCAAGGTTAGCAGAATGTGGCTAGAGCCCAGGTCTTTGGCTCCCTGGACTGGGATGTATTTCCATCTTCTACACCACCGGTATGCAGACTGGTGCACTCTTTTCCTTATACTTGGGAACGGGGCACAGGCAGGAATGAAGACCAGGACATGCTTCTTGTATTTGTGGGTTCCTTAGACCCAGGCAGCAGGTCCTCATGTGTGATTTGGGTATTTTCTAATTGGTGGGGTGTTTATACAATGCTAATAACTGTGTGAACAGCACTTGAAGATCTGTGGCCACAGGGAAATGGGGGGAGAGAAAAGAGCCAAAGGAAGAGTTTGGACTGGATCATGCAGATAAATTGCCATCATATCTTCTTTAGCTTCCACTGTGGAGCACTTGGGTGGTCCTTATTTTAGTCGGAGAAAATGGAAACCCATTGATTCTCGGCAGACTGTTCCCTGCTTTATGCCTGTTTAACTCACTGGAAACACCTGGTTGGGGTGTGTTTCTTTGCTTCCCTTCCTTTCTCCCCTGCACCAGGCCAGGCTAGCTTGCTCACAAAGCCCTGAGTTCAGTTGTTGGGGCGAAAAGGCCTGCCAGCCTGTAAAAGGCTTCTTGTCTTCCAGGTTCGCCGTGACGAGCTGAGCTCCACCATGTCCTCCCAGCAGAGCGCAGCTTCCGCCAAGGGCTTTTCCAAGGGGTGTGCCCAGGACCCCGCTCCGTGTCCTGCTCCCGCACCCGCAGCCTCATCCTCCTGCTGCAGCTGCTGCGGTTCGGACGGCGGCTGCTGTGGCTCCGGCGGCTGCTGTGGCTCCAGCGGCTGCTGTGGCTCCAGCGGCTGTGGCTGCTTCCCCAGAAGACGCCGCCGACAGCGTCGGAGCGGGTGCTGCAGCTGCTGCGGAGGTGGCAGTCAGAGCTCCAGCAACGTCCAGAGCCAAGGGTGCTGTGGCGGCTGCTGAAGCCCCCGCCGCCCTGTAAGCTGCCGGAGGCTGCCCGCTGAGCCCTGCTTCCCCACTGGAGTCCCTGCTGCGTGTTACTGTGCTCCCGCAAGGGACTAGGTTGGAGTGTGCTCCCCTCCACCTCCCCGTAAACCTACCTGCACTGGATGTTCCAAAACCCACGCTGTTCTCAGCCCCACCAAACTCTGACCCCCGTGTTATCCTCCCCGGGAACGTGAGCACCATGGGTGGAATATTGGACCCTACCGTGGCAGAGGCTTGCACACAGTTGGTGCTTAATAAATATCCATGTCATAATAAAGCTTCTACCTCCCAAGAACACTTCGTTTCGTATTCTTTCATTTGTGTGTTTATTATTGCGTTCTGTTACCCTGTCCACTACCTCTCACTTAGCCCTGGCTTGGCATACCTAAAAGGGAGAAAAGTCAAATTCATGCCTGAACAAGAGTGGCTTCCTGGTACTTAATTATGATAGCAGAAATCACAAATGGAGCCAGACAGTGTTCTAAAGACTTGACGTGACATGCACCACCTCATGGCATTCTCACAATGACTCAATGGGGGTAGGTGCTGTTACTCCATTTTACAGAAGAGAAACTGAGGATAAGTAACTTGCTCCGTCACTCAGCCAGTGCATGATGGAGATGACTGGGTGTCCCACTGCTGGCTTATACTCCTAACTGCTTTTTCTGGTTCCCTGAAACTTTCCAGAGCCTTCTGGCTGTTGTGCTCACCCTCTGGCCCACTAGGCCCTGCACAAGCTGCTGTGTGGCAAAGATTTGGATCTGCAATTCTCCAAGACTTTGGAATCAGGCAATCTGAGACTTTCTTTTGCTACAGGATTATCAACCCACTGCTTTGCTTGCTGGGTGAGGAAACTTTTCCAAGCTGAACCTTCCAGGAGCCTGGGAAGCTCCCTCTTCAGGCCTCATCCATGCAGCCAAGGCCCGACCAACAGTCACGGACGTCTGGGACTCTGTAGGGTGCAATGAGCCATGCTCAGAAGCATGGCTATGTTATTCTCTAGAGGTGGCTGTGATGGTGGTGGCAGGGTCATCCTGAGGTCTGAAGCCCAGACCTGTGGGCATAGATCTTACTTCCTCACTTGAGGAAAGAGGAAACAGGGAGAATGACATCCCTGTGGTTCACGGATGCAGGAGATGGTAATACTGGTGGTGATAATAGGAACAATTGCTGCCACTTATTGGGCACTTCCTTTGTTCCAGGCACAGGGCTAAGCACTCTACATACATTCTCTCAGCTGATCCCCATGGTAATCTCAAAATCTAGACTTTACTTCCCTCATTTTTTTAAATCTGAGAAAACTGGGGTTCAGAGAGTTTCAGTGACTTGCCTAAAGTTGCACAGCTAGTGAATGTCCAAGGTCTCCGGATAGTGAGTGAGGGAGATGAGATTTGAACCAGGATCTGTCTGACTCCAAAGTCCATGTTTTCAGAATTGGCATCATATTCTACTGCCTTAGAAATCACCACCATTCAAAGGAAGGGACACTTGGGCCTCTGGACACACCCAGGCTTATAGAAAATTGAAGCTTGGCTCCTTGGTGCTGCTCCATCAGTAACCTGATGACTAGCAAGCTCTGTCATGACTTCCACCCAACAAAAGTATTTGCTCAGAGGTGAGGTAGGAGATGGTCTATTGATTCATCCAGGATGTTTAGAGCAGAGGCCAAAGGACCCCTTTTGGGTAGCTTCTGAAGGGTAGCCCTGCTCTGGATGGGAGGGGTTCCTACTTCCATCTCTGAGATTCTGTGATTCTTAGTAGGAGGTGACTTGTGGAAACTGTTTAAAAACAGATAATATCACCTGTGGACCTGCCCCTCCCACACCAGTGATGTGTGTTGGAGCAACAAGCCTCAGGCCTCAGTGGAGGGGTGAGGTGGGAAGAGAGCACTGCTTGACTCAGAATAGACAGAGTGAAGCTAGCCTGAAGGCAGGAGGTGACCCTCGCACAGGAAGCTGAGGCCTGAGTTTTGGGGAAGAAAGGCAGTGACTTACTGAGAGACATGTGAATCCTAATGGGAGTACACACCTTTGTACGTGAGGCACATTTGTATCAATCAAATGCCTGGCCATGGATGGCAGCACCACCAAGCTCAAGTATCTCTGATTCCAGCAGGCTACCTAAGGGGTGGTTTGATAACAGAGATTTGAGCATTCAAAGAATAGTGTCATTACAGAAACTTGGGGAGCTGCTCTGGATGGGCTGGGGCTCTGTGTTCATGGCCCCTAGCCTTTTCTGATGTCCAGCAGCAGGTAAACTTGTAATGCTTGGTACAAGCATTCCCTCTGAGGTAGCAGCAGTCCCCTTCCCCCCCACTCCCGCCCAGGAATGCTGGCTGGAATGCTGGCATTTGGCAATGTGAGGTCCTACTCAAAGGTTGTCACTCAGTACACTGTGACAGCCAAAATCAGATTTCTTATTATCTTTGGATAATAAGATAGTAGTGGTATAATTGAATGCATTTTATTCACAATGGCTCCAGTTTAGGCTTAAATTATGTTATTCTAGTGGTAATAGGAACAATTGATATTTATATGGAACTTAGCAGTTTATAAGGTGTTATTATATATCTCTTTCATGATTCTGTAAGAAAAGTGTTATCTCTGTTTAACAGACTGGAAAATCTCTGAGAGTTTGTGACACATCAGAGGTTACTCAGACAACAAGTTGACAGTCTCTGGTTGGACCAGCTCTCTAATGCCTTCCAAGAGAGCCAAGAGCCACTTCTTCCAAACCTACACACTGAAATAATTGAATAATGTCACTCAATTAATTATTTAGGGACAGCGCATCCCTGGCATTGAAAACTGTGCCAGGTACCTATTAGAGGTCAATAAGTAAATGAATATTTGTTAGTGCATCACATGGAAAGTGTTGTGCTGAATCATTCTCGGAGATATGCAAAAGTATGTCTTGGCCTCAAGGAGTTTATAGTCTGATTTGGGAAATATGGTAAATAATCACACAAGGTATGAATGCCAATGTCACATATAAGAAATAACTTCATAGTCAAATACAGATAATACTTAACAACACAAGAAATATCACAACCTGAACATGGCATAGACAATGGCCATAGGGATTCAGCTGAATATAGTTGGAGATTTGTTACAGTGCTTCAAATGAGGACAAATTACTGTGGACTGAGTTATTCACAAGACCTTGTGGGAGCCGAGGGATCTGAGCTAGGTATGAAGATGGAGGTACTTCAGAGAGGCAGAGATTCTTTCTTTTGTGCATTTATTTGACTGCACCAGATGCTGTTCATGATGCTGGGGAAGACAAAGAATGAGACTATGTGGACCTGTGTGGACCCTGCCACATGAACTTGCCATATGGACTTGCCATGGGGACTCTACCCCTTGCGGATCCTGCCTGTGTGGACCCTGCCTATAGGGACCTGCCATGGGGACCTTATCTGTGTGGACCCTGCCCATGTGGACCCCACTTTATGGACCTACTGTCATGCACTTGCCCATGTGGACCTACCATAGGGACCCTATCCATGTAGATCCACCTGTGTAAACCTGCTGATGTGGAATTGCCCATGTGGATCCTGCCTGTGTGGAACTGCCATGGGGACTTCACTTTCTAGTGTGAAGATAGACAAGAAAGTGAGCAAGAAAGACATTATTTCATATGGTGAAAAGTGCTGTGATGAAAATAAAGAAGATGAGGTATAGACATTAAGTGGAAGTGCATGGGGATTTTAGGTAAAGACCAGGAGAGGCCTCTCTGAGGAAGCACAGTCTGGGCAGAAAATGTGGAAGCCATTGCACAGGGCAGGAAAGCACATGCTTATAAGCTTTCTGCCTCATTGGAAGCCCACGGCTACAGTGTTCAAGGAGTGCTCAGTTACACTGGCCCCATTAGAGACTTTCACTGGAGAAGTCACTCAGAATTCCAGCTGGTGAGCACACAGATTTGGTAGTGAGATGGATCACATATTGTAAGCTGGGCATTATTCCACTTAACCCTCACAATTTTTCCACAGATAGGTTTCCCCTTACATTTTGTTGATAGGAAAATTGAGACACAGAGCTGTTAGGTAATCATCTTAAGGTTGCACAGCTTGTAGTTGGCAGAACAGGGTTTTGAACTGGATATGTCTGACTCTAAAACCAATGTTCTGAACACTGAGCTATGGTATGAATTTCTGGGAAGGAGGGGAGTAGTTTCAAGCTTGAGCAGGAGGAGAAAGGAAATCCAAGGGGGAGGTGGTGGTATAGAAAGACTTTGAGGACACATCTTTGGAGAGGGAGGCCAACACATGGATGGTTTTGAGTGTCAAACAAAGCTGAGTGGGAAAAAGATGGTGGAGGACTAGGGGACCCTATTCCAACAGGTCCCCTGAATTGAGCTGGATATCCACTGGGGACCACTCTGAACATCCACAAAATCAGCCTGAGATGTAAGAAGATAGATCTGGGTCTCTACAAACAGAATATGGCAGGCAGTTGGTTTCGAGGTATGAAGCAGGGAGCCATGATTCCATGGGCAGATGTCAGAGGATAAATGGAAGTGGGAGGGAGCTGTGAGGATCCTACACCAGTGGTGAGCAATATCCTCCTGCGCTGAGGACAGGGCACAGACTTGCAGAATGGTAGCGATGGGGAAAGGACTTTAGGGCAGCCCCCCAAAATGAAACCCAGAGCAGTGGGGCTGTGTGCAAACTGGGGTGGCTGGCGGTTTTAGAAGCACAAAGGGCAGAGATGTGCCCGGACCTGGAGGCGAGGACTGGGAGCCCTGCTGAGGGGCGCACAGACCAGGATTCTGCAGTTTATAGCAGCACAGACAGAAATAGAGATAGTGTGGCCTGGAGAGATCACTGAAGAACAGACTGCAATCTCTCTGCTCTGAGGCAGAGGGTTGGAAACAATCCCTTCTGCTCTGACTCTCAAAAGAGACACAGAAAGTTGCCAGGGAAAGCTGCCAGAGAACAAAAGCCCCCCAAAACCAGTTTTCACTAAGCCCAT